TGTGTACGGTTTAAGAAAAAATTAATAAGGAAACCTGCGTGAGTGGGTTTCATATATACGTCTGTACCTAATTTATTACCTTCTTTGCTCACTAATACATCTGAAAAGGGCAATTCATTTTCCTTTTCTAACTCCATGGAAAATTTAGTGTTTGCATCTTCTCTATTTGTTAGCTCAAGGAGTTCCCCCAAACTATCATTTCCGTGTTGCAAAACGGCAAAGCAATCTTCCTTATATGAACTAATAACTTGGGAGCTAGTTGTGTCTCCTGAAACACGCGAACTTCTAATTTGTCAATGTAGTTATTAGCCAAAATAGGGGCTAAACAAGATCCCATAGCCAAACCCCGTGTCTGCTTATACAACTGACCACTGAAGGTAGGATATGTATTGTATATTTCCAAATTGCCAGATATTAAAATTGAATGTTTGCTTAACATTTTAGCTGTTATGATTTCAGGGTGTAGACCTTCAGTTAATTATAACGCATTCATTGCCTTGTTTATCGTAATGATAGTGTACATAAGCACTCGAAATGCGTATGGTCTGCCCAAATTCAATAAGCAAGTTACTCCACCTAGGATTATTGTAGATAATATAGGGAGCGTGATGCAAAAACATTACGATTTACATGTGCTCAGTTAAAGCAATTGTCCAGAACTTGGACTTTTTTAATAAAGATCTCTCACTACTTTATTAAGTTACTTGATGAGCAGACAAGAATGGGAGGAGATTTGCTGTCAAATTTCGATGTGTTGAATATGAACAGTAATATTTCGATAAACAAGGCAATGAAGACTTTATAATTGATTCAAGCTTAACACCCTGAAATCATAACAGGTAAAAAGTTAAGCAAACGTTCAATTTTAATATCTGGCAATTTGGCAATGTATAATACATTTTTTACCTTCAATGGTATGTTGTATGAGCAGACACAGGGTTTGGCTATGGGATCTTGTTTACCCTCTTATTTTGGCTAATAACTACATGACCCAATTAGAGGTTCGCGTTTTTCAACTGAAACTACTTGTTCCCAAGTTATTAGTTCGCTTAAGAACGATTGCCTAGCTGTTTGGTAAAACGCCAAATATATGAGATGTATTCAACAACTTGGTTTAAGGTGATGATGAACTGGTAAAAGAATTTTCCCACAATCAATCCAATGAGTTTTAAATAGTCTTGCTTTCTCAAAAGTTGTACTCATCCAAGGTGGACTGCAGTTTCGACCTCGCATCGGTCTTATCAACACCCCCAGAGAGAGTCGAACCGTGACAGTGCAGAATCGTATGTTGACACGTTAACCACTCGGCCACATTGCCACGAGTGCCTTAGGGTCACAGGGCAAGTGTGAATTTCAATGAAGGCCAGGCCTTTTGCCATAGCATATTCTTTGATTAGATTCTCAATGAAGTAAACGTATATTTGCTATTACAATCAACTATGTTACTTATTTTTCGTATTTAAGTAGAGTTTCGAGAGTACCAGTAAATCTGTAAAATGATAATTATTCACCAAATTACACACAAGGGCATTTGTGATAATGTGTCCGAGTGATTAACGTGTCGGGCTCCCATCCTGCACTGTCACAGCTCGACTCCCGCTGAGGATGTTGATAAGACCGATGCGAGGTCAAAACTGCAGTCCACCCTGGGTGAGAACAACTTTTGGTAAAGCAAGGCAATGTCAAATTCAATGGAAACGTCAGCTCTACTCATATCATTGTTGTAAATTCAACTAAAACTCCTTCATCACCTTAAACGAAATTGGGTGAATACATTTTATATTACTGATTTACTTGTAGTCTTAAAATAATACTTAAATGCGAAAAATAACGTTAAAGATAGTTTGGGGTAACTCATCACGAATTACTTCAACCAACTTTACCTTCGAAATAAAGAGTCATACCACAATGTAGGATAGAGACTGATAGTCTGCTTGACTTAAAATAAAACCAGAACATCCTAAGCGAGATCAGATGTCTTGTTGAATGCATCAACCTAAAGTTCGTATAAACCAAACTTTTCGCAACAACAATTTTCCGTAAGGATCAGCTAGTGTCTCGGAAGACGAGAATGGTGCTCGCCATGGAGGCCATATTTTGTGCCCCCAAAACCATCTATACGCACTAGTAATTAATTTACAGACGCTAAAAGCATCTACGGTCTATGTCGCCTGACTGAGGCTGGCTCGCTTGGTACTACAAGGTAGAAATGAGTCGTCTGATTTGGCTTTTATTGAGAAAACAATACTTTGTTAAACTCTATTCGATTTTACTCCTGCCTATCAGATGATGGACGGGTGAAGAGAAAATGAAGCTATTCGGGTTTGGTTAACGTATTTTTTACCGCCTTAAGCTGGCGTCTTTGTCACGTTGAATCCACCACCGGTAAATCTGACAGCTCCGCTTTCGCCAGCTTGACGATTTGGTTGCAGGCCAGGCCGTTGTCCGTTGTCAGTAGTCAACGCTCCCTTCTCTTTTGCCGCTTGCTCCTTGCGCTTTTGAGCAAAGTATCGTTTCTTGATCGACTGCAGCTCACGCGAAAGCTTGTCGATCTCGTATTTGTGCTCCTTAATTTGGGCTTCGTACATATTCGTCTCTGCCGTCATCGCCTGAAAAGGGAAGTACCAAAAACTCAAATCGTTTAAATAAGAAAAAATAACTGATAATAACAAATAAAATGAATATAAATAACAAATTGTATGAGAGACTTTCATTTACTTTTAAAGTGCATGAGGGAGAGATTTTAAGGACGATCTCACCAGAAAAGTACATCTGATTCCTGTTGATTGCCGCAGTTTGGCGTTAC